TATTTCTTAAACACACCCCCTTCGTTTTGGCGATTCCGGTTATCTATATCTTAAACACATCCCCTCATTAGGCGATTCCGGTTATCTTTTTTCTTAAACACACCCCCTCATTTCGCGACTGACCTCTTAAACACACCGTCTCATTTGGCGATTCCGGTTATCCTATATCTTAAACACACCCCCTCATTTGGCGATTCCGGTTATCTTATTTCTTAAACACACCCCTTTCATTTTGGCGATTCCGGTTATCTATATCTTAAACACATCCCCTCATTAGGCGATTCCGGTTATCTTATTTCTTAAACACACCCCCTTCATTTTGGCGATTCCGGTTATCTATATCTTAAATACATCCCCTCATTAGGCGATTCCGGTTATCTTATTTCTCAAACACACCCCTTCATTTTGGCGATTCCGGTTATCTATATCGTAAACACATCCCCTTCATTTTGGCGATTCCGGTTATCTTATTTCTTAAACACACCCCCTCATTTGGCGACTGACCTCTTAAACACACCGCCTCATTTAACGATTCCGATTATCCTATATCTTAAACACACCCCCTCATTTGCTGATTCCGGTGATCTTATTTCTTAAACACACCCCCTTCATTTTGGCGATTCCGGTTATCTATATCGTAAACACATCCCCTCATTAGGCGATTCCGGTTATCATATTTCTTAAACACACCCCCTTCATTTTGGCGATTCCGGTGATCTAGATCTTAAAGACATCCTCTCATTAGGCGATTCCGGTTATCTTGTTTCTTAAACACACCCCCTCATTTGGCGAGTTCGGTGATCTTATTTCTTAAACACACCCCCTTCATTTTGGCGATTCCGGTTATCTATATCTTAAACCTTGAAAACCAAGTTGCAGAAATAAACGCCACCGCCGAAAGTTGCTGGTTTTCCGTGTTGGTTGCATTTTTGTCGTTGTCTACTCAGGCAAATTCGTCGCTGAGCTTAAGTCAGAGGGTTAACATCCGAGCTCTCCCCTGCAAAACCCTGGAAAGACCCAATACACAATCGGACTTTTTTCCTCTCCTACCAGCTCTTCCACAGGTTGACTGCATACCTGCACATAACTTGGCGGTGGCAAGCTCGAGAGCTGACAGCCGTGCTAAGAAGACTTACCCGCCCCGTGAAATCTTCACATTGCTGGGTCGACCATGCGACTGGGTTTCTCAGCCACTGAGCCGAGGGAAACTTGATCAAATCGTCTTGAACATAATCAGCAATGTGGTTCAGAGCATGAAATTTGGGGGTCAACTTGAATCTCGTTCTTCGTTGCTTGAGAGCAAAGTGAGCAACTTCCAAGTACTTCGCCAGGAAGCCGTATGCATATTGTGCGAACAGTTTTGCATCATGCCTCCTGTACCATAGACCGTGTGCATACAAGTGCCGCATCATGGCGTTCGCCTGGCAAAGTGCCTCGTGGATGGCGGCAGCATATTCACATGGCTCCTCGTGCAGCAATTGATTGTACCGCTCCTGGAGAAACTTGTTGACAATAGTTGTATCTTGTCCCTTGAACCATGTCCTGGAGAATTGGCTTTGGATACATCATTTAACCACGAAACTACTATAATTGTATTCCCGGGACTAACATACTAGAACAAGAATAAACAAAGAAATTCTCCTACACCCTGCATGTGCATAAATAACCAGGAAAACAAAATTGATCTATACTCGATTGGGTCAGAGCACCCGCAAGGATAGTCAGCATCCTTCTTGAAGCTGACCAAAGTTCGTGTCAGTGAGCCCATATGCAGATTCAGCTTGTTTTGTTTGGAGAACTGGACCAACTCTTCGTACAAAGAATTCAGTTGATTGTTGACATCTCCGGGGCCAGCCTTTCCAAGGTCCATGAGAACTACCTTTGGCGATCATGCAATCCTAAACCCGAAGCCTCAATTATGTTACAGTACATAAAACAAAACTAAACATGTACCAACTGCAACCTGCCACGAGCCCACTCCCTGCAAGCTCTGCAAGCACACCCTTGTGACAAACGTGAAATACGTCAAATCTGTATAAGAGTGGCTGATGGTTTGGCAAACAAGCGAAGGGAGACGGCTGGCTGAATGGGCTGTGCTGAAGAAAAGTAGATCGCCAAGTAGCCGTAGACGTGCAATCGTGGAACGGGTGTCCAACTTTTCCAGCAAGACACAGATGACATATCCCCAGGGCTTTCTCCTGCTTGGCGGACTTTGTCTTCCTTCCGAAGAACCGTTCGAGGCAGCCGAGTTTGGCCAGCAGGGGCCAATCCCCTTTGATTGCAGTGAGGCAAATAAATACTGTCACTTTCGCATTGTTGAATACCAATTCCACACCATGCGTCCACAAATGTAGCAGCTCTGCGGCCACACTTTCCCACATCGAGTACAATGGAGCTGAATCTTTTTTGTAGATAGACTTGTGCATGGTGAACAGCAGAAACCTCGTCGCCCAAGAGATAAGTTTCATATTCGAGTGTAGCTCCTCCGGGTCATAGTCGGGATTGGGGTTTCCACCTAGTTCCGGCTGCAGGTTGCACACCATGATGCTCGTTTTCTTCAGCGTGCGACCCTCGTCGGCATGTAACATACATGGAATCACGTATTGTTCCCTACCTTGGTGGTAGGAGAATACCGGATGATCAGGATCAATGCACTTGACCCGCCTCCAATATTCCCCAGTGACAGTAAAGTCCTGTACGTGGCCCAGAAACATGTGCAACTTCTCATTCAAGCTGAACACACGAAGAAAAGATTCCACCCTGAAAATTTCGTGGCGATGTCCATTGGGCAAGTCAACATAATCCACCGGGATTGGACACGATAGCCCAGCAGAGTTGAATACTTGTTGCACCGAGTTCTCGTGTAATGTCTTTCGCTTGCGATGCATCACTCTCAATACGTGGGAACTAGGCAGATCGGCATTATCTTTGTTCGAAGCACCAGAATGCTCCTCCCAGAAGCCTGCTGCCAAATCGCACACCAATCGATCAGATACCTTAGCTATATTCAATCATCGCAATACCCTATTCCGAGACCTAACCGAACCCATATAATCAAATTTTAATGCGAGACCATAATAAACCCCCAAAAAAGCGCCCGGTGACACCAGCGGCACTGGCTCTCGCCAAGGCTTCTCCTGCTGGCCCAGCACGTGCCGGTGTACCTGTTTTTGGCTGGAGCTTGGAAGCCTATGCGTTGATTGGGGTTAAGGTTGATCGAATAATGTATGTTGGGGATCCATGATAATTATTGGACTATTAATTTTAGGTTGCCACATTCGGCCCGATAAGGCCCTATATCACTGGTTTCAACATGGTCGGGCTTTCTTTGTCGCTCGAATTCTGCCGATTGTGCTTTCCTAATTCGAATGAGATAGAGACAGAGAGGGAGAGAGAGAGGAGAGAGAGAGAGAGCGAGCGAGCGAGCGACAGAGAGAGAGAGGGATTGAGAGAGATTTGGGCTCAATCTACTCGTTGCATGGCGGCGGGACTGCGAGCCTTGAAGTAGTGGGTATAGGAGTTATAGATTCGGTATCGGCTAAAGCGAAATCGGGCTCATACGACAATTCATGGGAGTGCATATGCATGATTTGGAGCTTCGTGGAGCCTCGGGGTCCATGCTACTCTAAATCACTATAAACCCCTAAACCCCTAGCCCTAAACCCCTACACCCCTACACCCCTAAACCCCTAAACCTCCAAACCCCTAAACCCTAAAAGCAACATCAACGAACTTTGGATTCGCGGCTGCGAACACAGGTCGCATCTTCCCCGATTGGAATCGCTACACTTCCCAGCCTCACCCACAGCAGCACACTCCCAATTAAGGTATGCACTATATGTCTGCTCGAACATGACGGTTTCGGAGGCTGAGATCGTGTACGTGGAACCCCGGCCAAAATGAGGTCGGCACACTGCTAGGTCAGTGCTAATCGTAGCAGATCGGAAATTGAACTGCAGGCCAACGTGTGAGCATCATCACAGCAAGGCTTTCAATGATTGGCGGGTCGGGTTACAAGTTACGATTAATTCCCTATTGAGGTTTAGTGCTTGAGGATTGTAAGGACTAGTCTAGGGTCTCTCTTGGGTGGGGCTTTCGGAACTGATTCAATCACTCACTTGGCCTTTGACTTACTCGCCGCTTTGGCTTTGCCAGCGGCGGCTTTTGCTTTAGCCTTGGTCTTAGCCTTAGCCCGAGGCTTGGGTCTCTCATCCTGACTCGGTTCCTCACCCTGCGACTCATCATCATGCTCATCCGGCGTGACCCTCTTGCGGGGTGTTGCCTTGGCCTTTGGCTTCTTGCGAAGATAGAGCCTCGACTTGTAGCGATTTCAGAAATCTTAAAATTGTAACATCTCGTATGTATACTCAATTTATGAATCACGGGGTCCCTGTGGCTCCGACCGCCTGACTTTGTTCTCTTCCATGGACATCCTGCTGCACCTCGAACCAAGGAGCTGCGAAATCTACTCATCGCTGTGGCACAAGAAGACAATGCACGGAGAAGCGACTAGGTCGAATTTAACCGGGACACGTCATCTCGACCTCGCTGAGCTTGCGTTTCAAGTTGCTCTTTTTCCTTAGTTCGGATCGAGACACCCTACACTATCCCCCAATGCAACTCTAGTCCATCCATGACTGTACACAGTGCGACCTAGTATCTCCTCATTGAGACCCCCTTCGACATCATGAGCAGCCTTGAGTTCAGCAATGTCATCATGAAGGGTAAGGAGCTGGTTCGCCTGCTCCCGGAGTTTTTTTGTCCTTAGATGAACCATATGCGAGCAGTTGGAAGCTAGCTTACCAAACTATATCCCAATATGGTGTAGCCAAAATACTCCTCCAAAGTCTCATTGTTGTTCTTGTTGTCACTCATCTTTTCGATCAAGATCATGGCCTTGTTCTGGGTGTTCAGGATGTCCTTCAGGGTGCCCTTGACGTTGGCGATGTCCTGTTGTGCGAGGTTGGTTTGATATTGATTTATTAATATTAGTTTATGAATCACCTAAATTTGGGAGTAAGGGGCCAGTCCTCTTCGTCATCCTCCTGAGTAGTCTGCTTAGCCGGCTCTTGTTTTGGGACCTGTGGGACTCTGGTTTTCCGGGGCGGTTTCTTGTCGATGCCATCATTATCCTCACTCTCCTGCTCCTCTACCTCACGTGCAAAACCGGACTCGTCGGGCATGAAGGGCATAGCATCTTTGCCGATAGACGGGGGAGCTGGAAAAGCAGCTGGGCAGTTGTCGACGACGAACGAACGGATGGTGACCTCGCTCATCGTCCGACGAACTTCGCCTGTGGTCTTGATGTCGACCCAATACTCTTTGACGTCTTTTTCGTACTTGTCATTCCTTGCGAGATTCGGCTAGATCGTTCAATGCAACCAGACTATCTTTCGGCAATTTGTAGGATGACCATAATCGTAGAACCCGGCCTCACCAACGTGCGGCGTCTCTCTTTCGTAGACGTACAGTAAGCTTTGATCGCACGGATGCGGGCCCTGAGAAGACTATCGATTGTTGACAGGCACCAATGCAGGTCTACATGCTAGCGACAACATGGATGACAAAATTGCACCCAAGGTACGGGGTCCAGCCCAAATCCTGGGCCATGGCCCGTTCACTGTACCACCCTGCCTCCACCCTCAAAGTAATCTCCCGGCGGCTCTCGATCACCAACTCTGCTTTCTGCACGAAGTTCTCCTGCGAAGCATGCAGTTAAACGAGAGCTTCCATCATTCAGCATCATGTGGTAGGTCAAACATGCACATGATACCGGTCCTTATTCCCAGCAGATTCTATCAGAACTTGCAGCAGCTCTTTCCTGAAGGTTCCTCCTTTAAGCCATTGTTTCTTCACCTCCTCCGGAACCACAACCTGTGGAGCCTTCTTTTTGTTCTTCGGGTTGCAAAGGCGACGAAGAGAGGCATCGTAGCAAGCGAGCTGGCTCGCCGTGATGCGGATTGGCTCCTGGCGGAGCAGATGCGGGGCCGGGCTTCGACAGCAATATAAGTACGATCGAAAATTACTTATGTATATATAAAATATACATATGAATATATATATATATATATATATATATATATATAGGATGTCAAGGTATATGTATGTGTAGGTATATATATATATATATATATATATGTGTGTGTGTGTTCCTAGCTATATTCACATATACATATATACCTATCTACCTATATATATATACACATGCATGCACACCATGTTAAGGTACACACACACACATACAACATATACAAATATGTACACAGAAGAAACGGCCGGGTGGATTCGTACATCTGTTGCATGTATATATATATATATATATATATATATATATATATATGTGTGTGTGTGTGCGTCGCATATTAAACTATAGATATTCATGTACTATACTTACAGGCATACATATACACAGATAACATGTATAGAAGCAAGAGCACCATGCGTATATGTCGGAATGTTCGACCAGTGCTTCTGCGTATACATCTACATATGCAAACATTTACAGAAGTACGGGTCGATACAGACATGCAGCTGTTACCTAAACTTTGTTCAACAACATCGTCACGATCAGGAGGGGATGGTCTGGTCGATTTATCGCAAGTTTCGACCGACACTTTGCTTTCAGGATCGGGGGACATGGGCAATTCGGGATAACATGCTATATATGAACCAACATTATGACCCCGATACTTGATCAGCACACACACACACACACACACACTAGAGAACACAAAAGAAACCCACTTGTTCAATCTTTGCACCCTTAAGCCTATATGTAGGGGTGTAGGATTCAGAACTTTTGGGGTTTAGGGGTTTAAGGTTTCAGGGCAGGGCCCAGGGCTTAAGGTGTAGGTTTAGGGTCTCAGGGTTATTAAAAGGACCGTGCTCCTGTGGAGGAGGAGCAGGATCAGGCTCATCTTCAGATGACTCCCATTCCTTATGAGGCCACCAATGCAGTTGAATGGCAACACAGCATGCATGCACTGTACTTCACATCCGAGGCTCTTTGGCCTGAGCTTCCTCAGCCATCAGATCATGCAGCAGTGGCACTGGTTCACTCCTCGTCGTCTGCAAGGCCGTCAAGGCAGCCTGCAAGTCACCGTCATCCTTAGATCGACGTATGGTTAGTTAGGCCTTCGGGTTTGGTGCCGAAACAAACGACTGAAGGCAGTGTGTTATGCCGGGAAGCTAGATCATCGTATCCATCATGCAAGACCAAAGTCTCCCCAGCTTCGGGTTCGGGGGATGGCGAACGAGGTGGGGATCGTAGGGCCTGAGCATCCTGAGAGAGTCGAAGTTCAAAGGTGGTGGATCGTACAGGGGTGGCCAAAGGACGACCAATAGGGTCTGTAAGGAGCTTCTCAAAGTGCATGGGCTGCATGTAGGGATCCTCGTCTGGCTGGGTGTAGCTTTCCTCGAACGTCCCTGCGGGGTTTGTGCTTCCCGGCTCGGCTGCGGGTTTGGGCTCTGGGTTTGTGCTTCCCGGCTCGGCTGCGGGTTTGGGCTTTGGGTTGTTCGTGCTTTCCGGCTCGGCTGCAGCTTTGGGCTCTGGGTTGTTCGTGCTTTCCGGCTCGGCTGCAGGTTTGGGCTCTGAGTTGTTCGTGCTTTCCGGCTCGGCTGCAGCTTTGGGCTCTGGGTTGTTCGTGCTTTCCGGCTCGGCTGCTGGGTTGTTCGTGCTTCCTGGCTCGGCTGTGGGTCTCGACTCGGCTGCGTGTCTCGACTTGGGGCTCGGGCTTGCTCGGTCTTCTTCCGGTCCTAGGTTCTCGCTGCTTGAGGGTGCTTCTGAGGTTGCTGCTTCTGTGGGTGTGTATCTTGACCCGCCGGTCGGTCCTGTTGTCTCCTTGCTGGTGCCTTCTGGGTCGGTGTTGGGCGGCATCACAGGGGCTGCCATCCTAGCTTTATGTCTCTTCGCTTCTTGAAGCTGTTCAAGGCGTCTTGTTACTTCCTGCAGGAAGAAACAGATTGCGAGCAAATATTAAGCGAACTTATCACAACAGGCAATGCAAGTGGCGGGTTAGTGTCCTCCAGCTCTGCCTCCAGGCCTGTGGCTTCCTTCTTGACAGCAGCTGTGGCCATGACTCTGGTCGAGGCCAGCAGCCACAGAGCCACAGCTGGAAAGGCTACTTAGGACCAGGCTTGGGCACTGTACGACGACAAAACAACACGATAAACTTGCATCCGAACTGCTCTTAAGTGTGCAAAAACCGACCTACGACATTTTACGCAACTTTACGCGATTTTACGCCACTTTACGGGATTTTATGCAACCAGCTTTTTGCCCCGAAATGACATAATCTAGAATTGCCGTTCTTAACATTGGCACAACCTAGTACAGAAATGCATAATGCTTGCTCCGACCATAGATCGGCTTCTCCATGTGCTATAAGCTTGGGCTTTGTGCGATGGAGCATTCTTCGGCTGGCTCTTGGGTTCTTTGGGGCTGAGGACTACAATCGGTTTATGGGTACAGAGGAATGTGGGTTATAGGGTTTAAGGTTCAGGCTTCAATGTGCAGTAAAACATCAGATCGGTAAGCTTGATGTAGTACAGCACTACGACTACTGTTGTTACGGAGGTGAACGGCCTAGGTCACGAAAATGCACGGTACGTGGCACCGATAGACCCTCGACCCCAAGCTATAACTTAATCTCCCAATATCACAAAACCCCGGATACCGAAGAGCACATGGCTTTGAGGTTGGGTGCCAGATGAGCTGCTCTGGGCCCGTCGTGGGCGATGCTTCGGTGCCAGGTTGGAGGCACAAGACTTCTTGCATGGGTTTGTAGATGAAGTAGTATATATAGTAGTTGTAGAGTGCTAGTCGTATAGTGGTGTAGTAGTAGTAGTAGTGGTGGTGGTGGTGGTGGTGGTGGTGATGGTGGTGGTGATGGTGGTGGTGCTAGTGGTGGTGGCGGTGGTGGCAGTGGCGGTGGCGGTGGCGGTGGTGTCGAAGTACATATTTGGTACTATAGTACTATAGCAGTAGTAGTAGAGCCGGTTGAAAGGACACTGAGCACGTTCAGGGTATTTGTCGCTTAAAGGTGATCAGAATGCTCTTATGTGTCCTTCCTTCCAGGCTAGTAGTAGTAGTAGTAGTAGTAGTAGTAGTAGTAGTAGTAGTAGTAGTAGTAGTAGTAGTAGTAGTAGTAGTAGTATAATAATAATAGAAGTATAGTAGTATAGTATAGTAGCAGTAGCATCACGAACATCAGCGACTTTTAATTAGGGCCATGTGGTTTTGGGGTCCCAAAGGAACGGAGGTCTCGAGGCCCACATATGCAAGCATCTATATATGCACATATCATGAGCACCAGTGGTCTGATGGGCCATGATACTTAAATTTACATATGAGAATTTTTGGGACCCTATATAAGAACTGAGGGCTCGAGGCACAAAAAAAAGTGCATCGATCGAGATCATTAGTGGGCTCTTCTGGAGCATAGTTCTAGTAGTACTAGTGTAGTAGCAGCAGCAGCAGCAGTAGCATATTAGTAGCAGCAGCAGTAGGCAGTAGCAGCAGCAGCAGCAGGAGTAGTAGTAGTAGAAGAAGTAGTATAAGCAGTAGCAGTAGCAGGAGTACATGTAGGAGTAGGAGCAGCAGTAGTACCCGTAGTAGCAGTACAGGAGTAGGAAAAGCAGTATACAAAGCACGTGTACTAAGGATATCACCAGCAGCAGCAGCAGCAGTAACAGTAGTCGTAGCCGTAGCCCATAGTAGAATTAATGTACTTGCAGCCGTCGTAGAAAATGATGTCGATCGTCGTTGTCGTAGTAGCAGGCAGCAGCAGGCGGGAGTGGTGGTCGTAGTCGTGGTCGTAGTGTCAGTGGTAGTAGTAGTACTAATAGTAGTAGTAGTAGTAGTAGTAGTAGTAGTAGTAGTAGTAGTAGTAGTAGTAGTAGTAGCAGCAGTAGTAGTAGTAGTAGTAGTAGCAGTACTAGCATAAAGTAGTCTTAGTGGCAATGGTAGTGGTAGTGGTGGTATTGGTAGTGCATATATATATATATATATATACACATACATACATACATAGATGCTTGAATTAAACTGTACTAGTAGTGCTAGTGGTAGTAGTAGTAGTAGCAGCAGCAGTAGTAGTAGTAGTAGTCGTCGTAGTAGTAGTAGTAGTAGTACTGCTAGCTACTACTACTAAGAGTGGTAGTATAGGAATATAGTATATTAGTCGTTGTTTTTGCTATCGTAATACAACCATGCAACTATGCCCACAATACTCTCATCACCAACCACTAACACCTCACCCACAAAAAACCCTAATTTTACAGAAACTTTAATCCCTAAGCACCATACTGAAGAGCACAAATCCCACAAGGCTGAAAGACCACGAAAACCAAGAAACCCAAAAGCAATCTCTCCTAGAAAGTCCGACTCATATTGGTATGCAACCCAATCTCTCGATCAACCCAAAACATACTCCAAATTGTTCGAAAACTACGGCACTGCCTAATGGGGCACGGCTCTTCAAAAAGCCTTTGCGGATTCTCCAGGCCGTGCTCATAGATCAATCGGAATCATCGACCTGGCACGAGATTTCAGAATCATTGTTAGTTTAAGATAAGAATGCAAGCAATGCCGATGCATTGAGGGATCGATAACACTCGGTGTTTACAATTTTCATGGTGCAGCACTGTATCGCGACTCCGACTGGCAACGAGATCTTCTGTACACATGTGGTGCACATACCCGCAAAGGCAGCCTCCCAGTTACGATTGTTCTAGGTCGGGACTTGGGTTACAAGTTAAAACAATTATATGCTAAATGTGCGAAAAGAAGGTATATAGGGTATGGCGGTTTGGGGTTGTTGTAAAACCTTGGAAGGCGGCTTCCCCGCATGCAAGGATCACCCTGCATGACTAGCTTGAATTAAAGCACCTTGTGGACAAAGCTCGAAAAGCGTGGTCACGATATGAACCCCACAGGACTATCAGGCCCCAAGAACGAAACAGCGATCACTTCGAGTGCTTCCCGGTTCGCCGCACTGGCTTGCGGGCTGCAGGCACATAATCTACACGGCGGCACCTCGAGCAGCCGGTCTTACTCATGCGACACTTGGGGCAACCGAAGTCTTTGGCTGCGGGGGCCCCGTCATTCTTCTTCGACCTCGTGCGGGCAGCACCATCGGATTTGTTATCAGCAGGCTTCTTCGAAACCTTTGCCGATTTCGCATGATCTGCCGAAGGCTTCTTGGAAGCTTCGGGATTCGCTGCCACATCTGCAGGCGACTTCGCATCGTCTGCCGATCGCGATTTAGAAACCTTCGGCTTCTTCGCTGCCACATCATCGGGCGATTTCGCATCATCTACCGAAGGCTTCTTGGAAGCTTTGGGTTTCTTCGCTGCCACATCATCGGGCGACTTCGCATCGTCTGCCGACCGCTTCTTCGAAGCTCTGGGCTTCTTCGCTGCCACATCATCATCAGGCGCTTTCGCATCATCTGCCGAAGGCTTCTTCGAAGCTTTGGATTTCTTCGCTACGATATCATCCTGCGATGCACCCGAGCTATGAAAGCTCGTCTTGGCATTGCTTCGCTTCATACCCTTCGGCTTGTCCTCATCGGATGCAGCAGGGCCTTTGCCACGTCCTTTGCCCCGGCCCCGGCCCCTTCCACGAGCACTCACGTTGCTGTCACCGGTATTGGTGTTGCTGCTCTTATTGCCACGGCCCCGGCCACGGCCCCTTCCACGAGCATCAAGAGATGTTTTCAGCTCCCGTTGGGCATCCGGTGTGATGAGGGCGGGATCGACCTGACTTTTCAATCTAGGCTTAAGGCTTAAGGCTCAAGTAACCATCAATTAGCCGGCCTTCGGGGGGGTAATCAGCGGCTCATCGTTGTGCTTGGGAGGCGGGGTCTCGCAAACCTTGAGGTCCTTGGAGGTGTCACAGGCCGGAAGGCTGTTCATGATCTCCTCGATATCGATATCGTAAGACTGGGTGTCCTGCACTTGTTTAGGGTGAGGGGTTCAGGGTTTAGGGGTTTATAGGATTAAAGTTTATGGAGCTTTATATTTCATTAAGTCCTGGTGGTCGGGATGCTTGAAAGTCTTGGCACGGCGAGTCTTCGAGGGCGGGCTGTCGAGTTCAATCACAATCGATTTGCCTAGACCGGTGTATTTCACTAACTATATTTAAGACTATATAGATAATTGAATACATAGACGGACCTAGACTTAGCAACCCAAAGCCCCCAAATTAAACCGAAAAGAACAACCCGTACAGGCACCGCCGGCGGCTGCACTGGTAGAGGGGCTCGGACTGCTGGTCGTTGTGCAGGCAGGAGCATGGGCCGGCCTGGGCATTCGAGGATCTGTCGGGTTCAGGGTTTGGAAATTAGGTTAGGGACTAAAGGTTTGAAGTTCAACCATGGCATAATATAGCACTGATGAGTATGCCGAAGTACAGCAAGCCCAGCTCAAGCTCCAATGCCTTGATCATCTGCAGCTTGCTTTGTATACTGTCACGGATGACACCTGACCCTGAAGGCGAAGCTGTCGGGCTGGGTCGGATTTCATCGTGCAGCTCGGCCGGACTTTTCGTTGAGCTTCGCGGATTGGGGGAAGGGCTTAGGGCAGGCTTAGGGATTTCGATGACTTCATCGTCCTCAAGAACCTCTTCCTCCTCTCCTTCCTCCACATACTCTCCCTCATCATCTTCGCCATCCTCCTCGCATGCTGGCTCATCCGGGTAATCGTGACCACTCACACGAGCCATTTCACGGAATACTGCTCGGACTTCGATATCCTCAGTCAATAAAGCATTCGCACAATTCAGATATAATTACCGATCGATACCCCGACATCCTCTCTCTCTCTATCTCTCTCTCTCTCTCTCTCTCTCTCTCTCTCTCTCTCTCTCGCTCTCTCTCGATCTCTCCCCAGATCTCTGTATGTGGGTATATATATATAGGTATACATATCGAATGCATCCATACAGTATCTGTAAATATTCGATTTCAGGTGTGTTTATATATATATATATACATTCCTAGATGTAACTTAATTGCTTCGATATGCATATATGCTGTTTACTGATTATGCGTATGATATCATGCCTGTGCTTAACGACATACCTATGTAATCTATACAATATTTATCCATAGTCTGTAGGATGATTGCTTAAGATTAAGTGGTGGCCAGGGCTCTCTAGGGGTTTGCACCCGGCGAATGCTATCTGCATACCTTCTCCAGGCATAACCGTATAGATTCTTCAAAGCCCATGCAGTCACATAATCCTCATTGGGCTCCTTGGGCACATAGCCAACCTTGCTGTACAGTGCCAGAACCTGGGAAAGGGAATTGTTTGTAATCGACCCACCCTATATAAGTTAAGGCCTCAAAACCAAAGATACACCAAAGATCAAACCCCGATCTTCACAGGAAGCCTCGAAAGTTATACACAATATCTGATCACATAATCATCAAGTGGCTTCGTCTTGGAAAGTCTTTAGGTTGACCTTTGCTAGCTCAGCCGCCTGGACGATAACATTCAGGATCTTGTAGTTTGCTTGCACACCACGGGTGCAACACAAACACTCTGCCCCGTCAGCACCAGTGGGGGCGTGGAGCCAAGGGCTCCCCAACCGAAAGCGCTTCCGGACCACCGAAAGCTCTTCCCATCGGCATGCGAGCTTCAAATCAGTCATCCTAGCTAGGACAATCCCTTTTGGCAAGCACTCGAAACGAAAGCAACTGCAGAGTGCAGCAATGAATGCATTCACTGCATGTGCATGTCCCAATTCTGTAATAATCCTGCCAGCTCTGCCTTCGATCATCGCTATCAATGTCGATGCTGCGGAGCCTCTGTAAAACCTGTGCGGATCACGAGATTACCCAATTCCTATTCTATCAACTCCAGCAACTGCTTAATCTCGGGTAGCTAACAGGTCAAGCCATTTCAATCACACTTGCTGGCCTCACGACCATCTCGAGTGAGACCATCCCACGAAGCCACCGTTCCAAGTCCTACGAAGCGGGTTCTAGAAAGCTTAGGGTGCAATGTCCATGCTAGCTAGACGACTATCAGTCCTCCAACAGCTATGCACCAGCCGAGGCGAGGATGCCGCCCATGCGGACCAGCTGAGAGAAATCTCCCTATCTAGATAGATATGAACCCGGGCCCTAGATATAGTTTCAACCCCAAAGCCCCAAACCTTGAAACCCTAATCGCAGGCTTCGACATACAAGAATCAAACTGGCAGCTAGAACAAAACCTCTATGGTGAAGTTAAGGATCGCTTTAAATTAAGCTAGTCATAGATTAGAAGATGCCCCCACCCTGTAAGAGTGACTATATAAGGATTACAGAGGATCATAATTAGGGCCCTAATATTCCTATTATACCACTATTACAGGGTGGAGGCAGCTTCTAAGTCATATACAAAACCATGATTTGAGGCCGCCTTGACCTATCTAACTCCGTGACGACGATTACGATTTGCACACTCTCAAAATCAAAACCCACAAAAGACCCCGGCCGGGAGCCTAAACCAAAACCCTATAAATCTATTATATGCAATTATACCAAGCAAGGCCTGGATTTGCTTCAACTTTATCGAATAGTGTAATTATCTACGAGCTCAGCTACTATGTCTAAAGAGATCGAGTACACTTCTCGATTTGTCGACTGCCCTGCGTGGCTGCAGCACTGCTCGGCCGCTGCGATGCGAAAAAGCAAACCTCACGAGATGTGCTAATATTTCCAAGATAGGTTCTACCTTAGAACCTTCAAGCCTTAAGTGAAACCCTTCAATTCCTGGATTTGTCAATCTATATATATATATATATATATATATATTGGTTTAAATTTAAACACACACATATATATATATATATATATATATAGATTGACAAATCCAGGAATTGAAGGGTTTCAACTAAGCCTTGGGAGACTCCGACAGGGTTAGGACGAATCCTGATTTCGATCAAGTGAAGTTCGTGGGGCTGGCTTGTTGGATCTTGGTGAAATGGGCTTCGATTTGTAGGAATAAGGGATTTTTTGGCTAGGGTTTAGGGTTTTAGTACTATTTGGGGCATCCTATTCTTGGATCTGGCTTCTATACAGGAACCGTTCGAGGACCATTCATTCTAGCAAGATTTGATACAAGTGCACAATCAAAAGTATCGGGCCTTTGGGCTTCAGGTTTTCGATCGAAGGCTCAGGGTTTGGAGCTTCAAGCGGGTCCTATAGTTAGGTAATCAGATGAAGTCCCATGGTATATGTCCCCTATAGGCTTTATAGTGTTCTGAACTGATTCGTCGAAGACGAGAAGTCGCCGAGCCTTGCCATACCCGGATTTATTGGGAGCTTATATATAAGATTTAGAGTCTCACTCATATACGAACTACTATATGGGGTGTCTCATATATGCGATACTCCTACTAGGGAGCAGAGTGAAGACGAAATTAGGGGTGATTTAGGTTTTTTCTTTTCGTACTCGATACACAAGCCTAGGATAGTCGATCAAACCGTGCAAAGCTAGCCAAAAGTTGTTGAATTCTTGTATTTGTTGAAAGTTGCAGTTTTTCGCTGTGGTTGCATTATTTTCTGCCACTGGCCTAAAAGCGCTGGTTTTTTGAAAGTTGCTGGTTATTTTTGCAACTTTGGCGCTCCAGGAACACATCCCCTCATTAGGCGATTCCGGTTATCTTATTTCTTAAACACATTCTTAAAGACATCCTCTCATTAGGCGATTCCGGTTATCTTATTTCTTAAACACACCCCCTCATTTGGCGACTGACCTCTTAAACACACCGCCTCATTTAGCGATTCCGATTATCCTATATCTTAAACACGCCCCCTCATTTGCTGATTCCGGTGATCTTATTTGTTAAACACACCCCCTTCATTTTGGCGATTCCGGTTATCTATATCGTAAACACATCCCCTTCATTTTGGCGATTCCGGTTATCTATATCTTAAAGACATCCTCTCATTTGGCGATTCCGGTGATCTAGATCTGAAACACATCCTCTCATTAGGCGATTCCGGTTATCTTGTTTCTTAAACACACCCCCTCATTTGGCGAGTTCGGTGATCTTATTTCTTAAACACACCCCCTTCATTTTGGCGATTCCGGTTATCTATATCTTAAACACATCCCCTCATTAGGCGATTCGGGTTATCTTATTTCTTAAACGCACCCCCTTCATTTTGGCGATTCCGGTTATCTATATCTTAAACACATCCCCTCATTAGGCGATTCTGGTTATCTTATTAAACACACCCCCTCATTTGGCGACTGACCTCTTAAACACACCGTCTCATTTGGCGATTCCGGTTATCCTATATCTTAAACACACCCCCTCATTTGGCGATTCCGGCTATCTTATTTCTTAAACGCACCCCGCTCATTTTGGCGATTCCGGTTATCTATATCTTAAACACATCCCCTCATTAGGCGATTCCGGTTATCTTATTTCTTAAACACACCCCTTCATTTTGGCGATTCCGGTTATCTATATCTTAAAGACATCCTCTCATTTGGCGATTCCGGTTATCTTATTTCTTAAACACACCCCCTTCATTTTGGCGACTGACCTCTTAAACACACCGTCTCATTTGGCGATTCCGGTTATCCGATATCTGACACACACCCCCTCATTTTGCGATTCCGGTTATCTTATTTCTTAAACACACCCCCTTCATTTTGGCGATTCCGGTTATCTATATCTTAAAGACATCCTCTCATTTGGCGATTCCGGTTATCTTATTTCTTAAACACACCCCCTTCATTTTGGCGACTGACCTCTTAAACACACCGTCTCATTTGGCGATTCCGGTTATCCGATATCTGACACACACCCCCTCATTTTGCGATTCCGGTTATCTTATTTCTTAAACACACCCCCTTCGTTTTGGCGATTCCGGTTATCTATATCTTAAAGACATCCTCTCATTAGGCGATTCCGGTTATCTTTTTTCTTAAACACACCCCCTCATTTGGCGACTGACCTCTTAAACACACCGTCTCATTTGGCGATTCCGGTTATCCTATATCTTAAACACACCCCCTCATTTGGCGATTCCGGTTATCTTATTTCTTAAACACACCCCATGCAGGATCACTTGGCACTGCGCAGCTTTCCAGCACTGCGCGGGCAGGTTAGCCACAGAAAATACACTATACTTTGATGAATTCTTAGAAGGATTTCGTGTGTACTTGCAGGAGTTGGTCTACATTGGCACGGATTTTCTAGGATAACTCGGCCCTGCGCAGGTTTCTTTGCATGGCTTCCGGATACAAGAAAGCTCGGCCCTGCGCAGGTTGCCCGCGCTGCGCGTGCAGCTTGGACACGGGGGGTGGGCGTACCCGGCGCACGCAGGATGACTCGGCCCTGCGCAGGTTTCCAGCGCTGCGCGTGCAGGTTGGACACAGAAGCGCGTGCACCTTGGACACGGGCGCGCGTGCACCCTGGAAGTGGCGCCCATCTGGAGTCTCACTTTCACGCCGCTCGGATAGCGTCTGTATTGCTTTGCTACATGTTTATGTCTTTGGCCAAGTCGGTAGCTGCAGGCTTTCTGTGGTGCACACCCGGACTTCTCGGCTGAGAGAGAGTCCGAGGTGGGGTCAATCCGGAAATCCGGAAAACGTGCTTCCAGTGGTGCTGGCGTTGCAATGCCAATGCAGGAACCCCACGTGACTTTTTGAAAGCGCTACGAAAGCTCACCAAGGCGTAAGCTTGTGCTTTCTCCGAAAGAACACACAGCCTCTATCAAGTCACCCCAAGATAGCCCTGAAACCTTTCTCAGGTTGTCACTGCGAGCGACGGAGCTAAGCACTTAGGATCTTCAAGTATGGATGCTGGTCTCACAGAGCGACAAGGCATCGGTGGAGCGCCTGAGATATGTTTTGAGGGTTTCTGCTCCAGACCTTTTCCGGGGTACAGGGTTTAGTGTGGTCTTTCGGGTTGAGGTGCGACTTTGGCCTGGGTCTGTGTGCAGGTTGCGAGTCTTGAGGGTTCACAGTGTTTCAGACAAGAGAAAACCACACCCGAAAAACAGCATTTCCTGCTGTAAATTACCTGATGTGTCACTAAAAATGAATAGTTTGAGCTCTTGCTGATAAATTGAAATTTAGCTAAAATCATACCAAAACCTAGGAAATAAGCACATTGAGACCCTTGAAAGTAGCCAGGCGCCTCACGCGCGTGTGACCTAGTTACCTATACTATTTTTGCGGGGCTCCTTATTATAATTGTAGTACAGTGGGCCCCAAAAGCCTGTTCTAATCATTAAGGCCCCTATATTATAGTACCCCTATCATAGATCCCTTATAGTAACCTTTGTATAGAGCCCTTTTTAAGGATTTTTTTTCTGATTATGAAGGCCTCTATACTAAGTAAATTGCCCTTATAGTAACCATTATATAGAGCCCTTTAAAGGGACCCTTGTTTTTAATTATGAAGGCCTCTATAGTAAGTAAATTGCCATCAGGCATCGGGCCACCACCCGCTGGCTGCGGTGCCTCTGCTGACAGGACTACTTGGAGGATCATGGGACTTAGTAGGGTCCCTTTAAGGGATCTATAGGGGTACTATAAGGGTTTAGGGTCTACTTAAAGGATCGTGGGACTTGGTAAGTAGGGTTATAAGTACCTAAAATTCAGGTTTTATGTGTAGTTACCTTACTTATAATCCCATTTATCGTTTAAGTAGTTCTCTCAACTAGGGTCCCTTTTCTTCTTCACCAGAATAGCACGGCACCCTTAAAAAGGACCCTACAAGTAAGGGACTTTAGAGAACGCCAGTTCATGGCTCTAGAATATCTAGAACTC